TACTCGACACCACATGGATCAGTTGTGCCATATTTACTCATTCAGACAAAAAAAAACATTTAGAATATTACTGCATGCTTCCTGCTTGAACTGTTTAGGTATGCTACTTGAATCTCCCTGGAACTGAGGCTTGTGGCCTTTTGTGGAGCACTTGTCTCTGCTAATACACAAAGAAAATAATGAGGTTGTGCTTACTTTTGTTCTCTGTAGGGGATAATTGCTTCATGTGAGTAAAAAGCCTGTTGCATAAGTCTCTGTGGAGAGGCTGAGGGCCTCCTCAGACCGCCTCTCTCATTATTAATGAAGTGGCTTTCACAATCGTAATCTCCACTTATGTTGACCAGACTGAAATATGTGTTTAATGTAGTTTGTTGAACCAGATAGTATCAGTATTGCACCAATCAAATTACAGTACCGACACTGCTATTGGTATTAAACTCCTGCCACCTGGAGAACACCAGTGAAGTGACTGCTATCACTACAGAAACATCTCTTCCTTTATTCAGATTTTCTTAAAGAAATCAACTATAATCCTATATTTTCTTGCCTTAAGTGTCTATTTTAGTTGCACGAATAAATGAAACGCACACACTTTGCCCCTCTGGCTCATCTAAATGTCAGGTTGTGTCCCCGCAGGGATTCACTCTCCGACCTTTTGAACCCGAGTCATGCATTCCACCGTCTGCTTTACTGCTCATTAGATTGGTCAGTCGTGATGTTTGTCTCTTTCAGGAGCAGTGCAGACAGTGAGAGGAGTATTTACGACCACATTGTCATGTCAAAGGTCAGATGAGGCTGAGACAGTTTTGAGTGCTGGACCTCATCAAGGAGACTGTGGAAATTTATACCAACAAGTCAACAGTTAACACGTCGTCTCCCATGAATGATGATCGCGCTGCTTTAAATAGAAGATCATGTTTGAGGCTCATCATTTTTGGGCTTTTTTTGTCATGAAATATGCTTTTCACCTGGATTTCATGTCCAAAATCTAAAGTTTGACTTTGTATACATTTGCCACATATGATATATATCCATATATTAAAATATTCTTGTTAATATAGTTATTAATGTCATCCAGTACTTTATGTTTATGACCAGATATCTAAAACACTAATTACATTCCCATTAACCTCAGCTACACTGTGTGTTTAGTGCTTATGTGTACTCCTGATGTTATGCAAAAGTACAACCTCTTAAAGATGCTAGCATGACTGTAGTTTTTTAGCAAATGTTGCTCAAACAGGAGTAAATAATGCATTTGTTGGGGACTATTTTAAGCAGTAGATAAACGCACCAGGATGCAGTGCGATGGCGAGGCTCATTTATATGTTTACAATGGCACAGAG